ACCTCCATGGGCTGCTTGTGTGAAGTCACAGTTCTGCTCTTGCCTGCTGCTTTCCCTACTCCTGAGGCCAGCAGTCTCTCATCCCACCACTACCTCCTGTCCCTCCAATAAACAAGGACTGCCTTTGCTTAGTCCAGACTATTTGCTCTAGATTATGTACAAAGTTTGTGAAGCTAACAAATAAAAAAACCCTAAAATTTGATAACATATCACAGACTTCTAGAATAATCTTACTTCATGTGACCTTCAAGTGTCTGTTTTTAAAAAGCAAGTTAATGGTGCTGGTGATCACATAGAAATGTTTGAGAAGCAAAAATCATCAACATGAAAAATTTGAAGAATTTATAATTGTTTAAAAAACCTGATTTATTTCTTCAGCAGTCTGATGAGAAACTGAGTCATTAATTTTGAGTGCTAAGAGCTTGGGAGTACTGGTGAGAAGGCTGGATATGTGCTTCAATGAAGCAGACATTGCTGAGTTTAATACTGATAAGAGGATCTTGAAATGTTAAGGAAAGCTGCTGCACATTTGGGTTTTACTGCAGAAACCCCTGCCATTGCACTTTTGAGAAGCTTTTCAGATAATGAAGTGCATCTCCATGGTATCTAGCCAAACATTTAAAATACTGTATGAAAGAGGCAGGTAAAGATAGATAAAGACTGAGAAGTTGTTAATCTTGTATCAGCATTTCCTAGACCAGCTAAATGGTAGGTGGGAGATTTTTGTCCTTTTGTTCTGGCCTGTGACTAGGCATATGCCTAAACATGTCTCAGTTTCTGGTATTTTTTAACACTGTTTCTTAAAATTATTTTTACAATTTGTATCTGCTTTTACCTGATTCTTTGTGAACACATGTGGCCTCAAAGGGATGTAAACTAAATGTAAACTAATGTAAACTAAAGCACCTTCAAGTTTTCATCATTTTCCCTTTGAAACAACAACATAAAATACCATAAGAAAATTCCATCCTGCAAGGTCTACTTTAACTCATGTGCTGTGTTTTAACTCATTTGGTGAAGAACTACTGTGAATGATCTGATCACACCAAAGTGTGTTTTCCAGCAATGTTCATGCAAAGAATCCCAAGTAGAGCTGTGTGTGCCTGATTTTCTGTGCCAAGATTAACAGTGTGGAATAACAGCCACTGCACAGTAAAAGATTATTTTTGCATTTTTCCCACATTATCCCACATGACTGAAATACAGAAAGTCATACTTTTGAACATGTTGAGAGCCAATAGAGGTTGTAATTGAGATGTTTGAGGTAATTGGTATTAAGAAGTACTAACCTACCTGGGTGTGAATGCAGGGCTTGAGGTATGCAGGTGTGCACAAAGTAATTTATCCTAAATTTTAGGATACATTTTGTGGTATTGATGTTATATGGAGAACACATTCTTCAGATTGATACACTTAATACTATCTTTATCTTGCTCTCTGGACTAAGGTTGCAACTGAGGACCTCCAAAATCTTCCAGCATGCAAGGACTAGGTTAAGCACAAAGCAAAGAGACATGGAAATCCCCGAGGGAGATTCATTGTAGTCTGGCAGAAAAAAAGCAGGAAAAAAGAAGGTTTTTTTGAGATTGAGTGCTCCTAAGGAGTGCTGAGCATTATATAGATGTTATCTCCTACCTAAGTTCCCAGGCAGAAGGCTGAGCATGTGGTACTTTTTGCAATCTGTTCCTCTGCTCAAGAATGGTCTTGGCAGAGATGCCATATGCACAGCATTGTATTAAAAGTAGGTTTGATTATTTCCCATGGTAATAGTAGTGCAGTAGATGTGGCAGTAGGAAGATAAACATTAAAATGAGTGCAAATGGAAGTTCATTTCAGTGGTTGTTCACATTCCACTGCTTCTGCTGCTGCAAGAAAGATGGTTGGGAGATAACACTGAGAGTGCAGCAGCCTGACAGTTACCTTTCTTCATTAACTTAGACTGCAATAAAGCACAGCCTTTTTGAAACAAAGTTCAAGTAGCCAGAGCCTCTCTGTGGAAATTAATTTCCTCTGGAAGCTGCTTCCACGTAACTCATCACCTACTTCACTGAACAATAGTCAGCCCGGTTGCTGGTGACAGAAGTGCTTGACAGAGCTGCTGGAAAGTGGGTCATGTGGTGGATAAAACATAGCCTGCTTCCCCAGGCTGCTTTTAGTGTGGACCTCCTGAGACTGCAGTAAATAATAAATACCTGCTGGCCACCGTGGGCACTTTGAGTGCTGCTGCATAGCTTGTCTTTGGTCCATGAGAGGAGGAAATCATACAGTGATGTAGTAGGTACGCAGAAAGAAACTTTTGGCTGCCCATCTCTGTTTTTGACTTGCATTGTGATGATTTTTTTCCCTGAGTATGGGAAGCTATATACTGTTGGATGGTGCAATTTCTACCCTCATAGGCCTGTTTCCCAGGTAGGAGGGCTGAGGACTTCACTGCTGTGGTGGTAGCAGCTGTTTGTTTTCTATGCCTCACCAATGGCACTGGTTAAAGGAGGCCTGGGGCACTGCTCCTGGGCAAACACCCAGCTGTGCCTGGTTACAGGAGGAGATTTTGGTTGTGAGAGCCGTGCTCACTAACACAACAGCCATTTCATGTCTTCCCCATAGGAAAAGGCTGTGGGCCACATGGAATTTAATGTCTTTTAGAAGTCTTTATGAGAAGTGCAAAGCTGTGCTTCTTCAGGCCTTTAAAACTCACGTCTTTTATTTGAAAGGGAACCTGCAAAGAACTGAAAAAGAATGAGGTTTGTGATCTGTTTTTGTGCTGTATAATGATCTATTTATTTCTCTTCTTTTTCCCCCTCCCCTTTCCTTTCTCTTTTTTATTCCTCCCTTGAAAGGTTAGGAGTTTTCCCAGCTACTGTTCGACAGCTTGTTATCCAGACTGTAAACACTGAATTTCAGTACTTCCTATCACTGGAAGAATCAAGGCACTGAATCATTAACAAGGCAACTCTTTGTGCCAAATGTTTGTTTGTGATTAATGGTAAACAGATATTTTTAAAAAAAGACCAAAAAATGAGAAAAGGATTAAAATATCTTTTTTACTAAAATACTCACCCTGCAATTTTCTTCCACAAAAATGTTTGGACAACTTTGTTCATACACATTTCTCTTTTTCTGTGAGAATATTCCAAAGAATTTTTACCCTTCCTTCATCACCACGCTGCTTGAATTCCGTCCTAGTGATGGGAGGAAACATCTATGATGCCAAAGGTGAAGTTCCATGTCTTGTCTGAGTCTTACAAACAACTTATATCTATTGAAAGGGAGAGATTCTCTTCCTCCTTGTTCTCCCTACTCCTGCTCTTGCTTTCAGCTGTGCAGTCTCATGCTGAGTCTGCAGCTCCTAGAACTTTTTACTGAAGCAACTTTGTCTCTGTCTTGGAAGAAAACAAGATTGATTTTTCTGATATAATTTGCTGCTGGATTTCGGGATTGTATCATTTCCCAGGAGCTCCTAACAAGCATCACATCTGGTGGTACACAAGACAGTGTGTCTAGGAGTGATGTAGGGACTGTGGGATTCCCATGTTTCAACAGCGGCAGAGAAATATTGGATGGGCTCAGTCACCCTGTGCTGGTTCTCCACCAAGATGGAGTCACTTGTCACTTGAACTACAATAACTCACCATTTGTGACCTCTCAGCCTGCCTCCAGAATGAAAGGTGGATGTGCTCACATAGAAATCCTCTCCTGAATGTTCAGCTGGGATGAGCGTTCCCACTGTCTCTCAAGCCACATTTCACCAGAATGAAGGCAACTACTCTCTAGCAGCAGTTTATTCCCTTGCTGTGGACTGCATTCCTTCAGGAGATTCTCAGGATAAAAAGAGGTGTGGATTTTGTCCTTCCAGAAGTTTCTTTATAGTGGTTGGTCCATGGTTAGCCTTCAGGTGATGCTAATCAAAGCAAAGTTTGAAGAAGGGAGCTGCCCACACTGGAAGTGGAAAGCTGGGTTAGTATGTGCAAATGACAAAGGACTGAAGAGTTATGAAACGCAATGCCAGTGGATCAGATCCCGTTAGTTTTGCCAGGCTGCTAGCACTTCATCTCCATGGCCTCGCAGTCACAACTGTGTGCCTCCCAGTTCCCTAGGTATAAGCAAGCAAGGAAACTGAGGTATCTTCTAGGAAACAACACCTTTGTTAGGCTTCTCAGTTGCTCGTACTCAGAAAGAAAAAAGTAAAAAGGACTTTAACAGGAAAATAGAGAGGTGCAACAGTCTGAGCAGTGTGAACATTACATTGTTGGATGGGCACTCTTGCTTTTAATAGGTTATCTTTTTCCATTAGAGGACTGTTTAAATTTTTAAGTGGTGCACAAGCTCATAAGGGCTTTTACTGCGTGGGTTCCCATTTTCATGTGGGTTTTGAATGTGTGGGAAAAGCTGATGCACTAAGATCTATTTCCAGTCTTCCCCTTGGGAACTATTGATGGTCATTTCTTCTTTCTTACATGACTTTTACGATCCTCAACGCCTACCCCCTCCCCCCACGCCCCAAAAAACCCCAAAAAAACAAAACAAAAAAAAAAACAAACCAGAAATGGTTTATTGGTTAGTTCCCAGTGGCAAATCTTATAGAGGAATGCCAGGGCTAAAAATGAGAAGCAGAACATAAATTCCAAACAGCTTGGATTCAACTAAACCCACAGTCTTCAAAATTTATTTTGACATAAGTTTCCAATAAACTTAAAGATCTTGTAGGGTAAAGGAAAAAAATCAGAAATAAATTATGATTTTTTGATCATTATTTGGATTAAGAATACTTAAATAGTTGTGCTGATGTACAATATTTCTAGCAATATGACTGGCTTCCAGATGAAGGGGGGAACTATAATAATGAATTATGGGTCTGATGGAAGGTCATTCTTTTTCTGTGACATAGACTTCAAATCAGTCACTGTGCTCTTTCTTCTAATTGGAATGCTGCATAATCAAAAAATGTATTTTCCCTTGTGTTTTGCTGATAAAGTAATTTCTAATTTGCTTTAAAATTATAGGTATGAAGAGAAGCCTAGTTGTATAGAGCAAATACTCCTTACTTTGAAGATCTCCTTTGAAGGGCCAATGGAGAAATGCCCTGAAATTAGAGATATTTCAGAGAAAAAAGGAGGGAATCACACTGACACAAGAAAGAAAGGTAAGCATCTTGTCTATTGGAGAAATTGCCTTCAAGTAAGAGAAATTATTTCCCCAGAGATAATTTGGTTCTAGGAGTCAAATTGTCACTAAAAAAAGGCAAATCAAGAGCAGCAAATTGATTTTGCTTCCAGTGTCTTTCTTCTAATTATTCCCTATTTAAAAAGAGAAGAAGGATATGATAAATCCAGCTATTTTTTAGCTCACTGTTGTACTCATCCCTGAAGAACCTCTTCCTTATATGTATTCTATTGGTGGGGAGTGGAATGAAAGCCTCTAGGTTAAATTTTCACAGATGAACACTTACATTCAGTTTAGTTGGAAAAGCAATGGTTACAAATAGTGAATATCTACTGCCTGTCTTTAGAGAAAGTTGTATGCCCAACATCCATGAGAAAAGGGTCACATAGATAAATGTGAGGTGTAAGCACTCTGGTTTTGGACTGAATGATACAGGCAGGCACATAGAGAAACTCATGGTAGGGAGGGGAAACTAAAAGTTATATATATAAAAAAAAAAAGAGGAGTTCAAGTTGTTCTATTTGACGAATGTTTGTGTGTTTGGCGATCATCTGTTTCCTCTCCCACTACATGGATGTGTAGAGACCACATGTTTCTTCCTGCCTTCTAGTCTTGCACAACTTTCTTTGACCACTCCCAGCCTCTCAAAACACTTTGCAAAATACTTCCCTTTTGGCTTCTCATTTGCCCACATCTGACACCAGCATTTCTCACCCAGTTCCTTCTCTCTGTTCAGCTGTTAAATGAACCTTTGTGCCCCAGGGTTTTTTTTTCTATCTCTAGAGAATGGATGACAGGTGCACAAAACACATCCAAGCAGTGCTTGCAGGTTTGGAAACAAGAAAAGAAAGGTGCCAGCACTAGGTGAAAGCTCAGGGTTTGTGCTGTGTAATTTAAGTTTAATGCTAGAGCAGAATCTGGTTTTTGTGCCTGGCTCTTCAAAGATACAAGGTCTGTGACATGTTTTGCAGCTCCTCTTGTGCGTGAGAGTAAAGGACATTTTGACTCACTTGAGATCCCTAGAAATGTTAAAAAAAAGGAAGAAAATAGTACAAGAAAAGACACTTATGGAACTGCTGAGGTGATATAACCAGGTGTCTTTTCATGTGTATCCTTTATTTTTCCTTCTGTCTCATCAAATTTAAACAACCTAATCCTATGAAGAATTAAAGCTGTGATGTTTCCTTGCCATGTTTCTGTGTTCTGGGCTTTTCTCATGAGTTAGCATTTAAGCTCTAATGAGCTTGGAGGTTTAGGGAAAGCACAGGCAGCAACTATTTACACATGAAGTGGTTGACTTGGCAAAGGGATGTTATTCTTCCTTTCAGCCACAATTAAATCCCTTCAGTCAATCATGTGGTCCCTTAAAGTACCTGGGAAATGGGATGTTTGATCTGGATTCACTGAGACCTCATTTGCTCTTTCTGCGTGGGGATAAGTTGAGCTGATGGTGGATGAAAGATGGCACAGGCACGGTCCTGTTCAGGGTGCCAATTCTGCTCTGCAGAAGGAACCTCTGCACCTCTGTGTGGTGGCATGCAGAGCTCAAGGGTTACTTCTTTATGAATACTGAGAGGCTGGCACATCTGGGGCCTGCTGCTACTCTTGCTACCAAAGAGGGCGGGTTTTGAGTTCAGTGTGGCAAAAAACAGCCTGGAGAGAATAGGAGAGTTATACAGAAAATTAGTGAATGATTCAAGATGTAGAGAACATTATGCAGTGACCTACTTTGGGAGAGAGCAGAAAAAACTCATGCAGATGGAATAACAACCAGGAGTGCTGCCTCCCCACGATGAGAAAAGAGAGCAAGAACAGTATTGGGTGGAAAAACAATTGCATCTGTGTTTTCTGAAGATGTAAAGCAGTTTGCTGCTAGGCCTGTTGGCTTGATTTTACCCAGGCAAGGAAGTTGGCATCTTCCAGTGACATCTAGGCTGGGAAGCTTTTTATTGTAGCCTTCCTCTTACTGCCTGATGGGCTTCAGTGTTTGTTTAGGTCTGGCACACCTGGCAAAACAAACGTGCAATTGGTGTGTGGAAGATCTGGGGCTTTTTTGGCAGCCCTGCCAGACTGTGAATGTGATCTCTGCCTCATTGGTTGCCCAGATGCTCCTTGGTTCAGCTGTGCTGGATGCCAGTGTATGGAGCAGTCCTGATTCCCCAGGATTACAGCAGGGTGGTGACCATGGCTGTCTGCCTGCTGCCAAGGCCAATGAGTCTCACCAGTGGTTTCCATCTGAGCTGCTTCCAGGTACATCATGCCGAAAGGAGAAGTAGGGAATGTGTGTGTTTGTCTGTTGAAGGTTCATGTTCTCTACAAACATTTTGGCCTCCATCCAAATCATACTGGAACCTGTGGCATTCTTTTGAGTCTGTGAAGATGGACTCAGCCTGTTTACAGTCAATAAAAAAAACCAATGAAGAGCAAAATTCAGGGTGAGTCTCCCCTGAGCTCTAATACTTACTCCCCTTAAGAATTTTATTTATGTCTCTTCTTACAGCCATGATAATTTGGCCCATGGTCCCTGTGTGGAGCCTTTGCAGTTCAATATTGATTTATTAGTTTCCTGCTGTGACCGGTACTTCAAACAAAACACTCAGTACCTTAACCCATCCTTGGTTCCACACTCTGTTGGGTTTATTCCCCTTGAGATTGTCCTGAGTGTGAAAGGTATTTAGTGATGAGGAGTCTGAACAGCTCTCCATAATGGGAGACAGTTGATTACCTCCTGCTCCATATGTTACATGCTCACATAGGAGACTGCTGGTACTGAAATCCTGTCTACCTGCAAGTGCATAGAACACACCCTGGTATCCCAGGCTCCTTAACATTTCCAGATGGGAGGAGAAGTTCTTTCCTTGCTCATGGCCCTTGTAGAAGCAACTTGCAAGAAGTGTCAGTGAGTTCTAACTGCAATGTACTCACGTCTGCTGTGGAAAGGGCTGGCTCCTCAAACTGGCTTTCAAAGGTCTTTCTCACTCTGATCTGACCTTCCTAGTATTTGCGAACACAGTTTGACATTTGGATAATTAAGCACATAATTTATGACTGAAAAGGGAGAGCATTTTTTTTTCACTGGTATCTGACCCAAAATGTGGAGAGGTCACACTAATAGGAGTCCTTATATTTAATTTCTGACTTCAGTAAACTCACCATGAATGAGGTTATAAAACTTACATTGATAAGTCTTGCCTCTGAGAGATATCAGCTATGGACAGCGTTTACTGGAGTGAAGTGGTACTGCTGTACTTGGTGTGGTTCAGGATAGTCTCACAGGGGTCCCTGCTATCCTTCCTTCCACATGAAGAAAATGCTTGTATTAAATATTCATGCGGGCGGAAATATTTTCTTTGTGGTTGGCACTGTGGTTACACTGTAGCAAGATAACCCATGCAGTTCCTGTGAAACCACCCGTCTATCTAAAAGGCACAATATCCTCAGGGGTGAATAATAGGGATAGTCTGAACCTGAAATGGCGTGACAGACCTTATTTTATTGGTCATGGCATGACCACACAGCTGGGATGGAGTGGGCTGGGATCATTTGAGGATATAGTGGAAATACAAACAGCACAAGCAAACAATCACCTCTGTTGTCGTGAGAAGTCAGGTTTCTGGAGAAAGTTTTCCACTTACAGAAAGCCACCTTTTGCTGTGCTTCTTGTTTTTACATTCTCTGTAAGTTCAACAAGTGTACATACACATGCAAAGACAAAATCAGACCCTGCTGTTGCATTGTGGAGACAGAGAAAGCTTCCATGAATGATGAGCTGCCTTGCACACAACTCAGCCCAGCAGCCGAGGCTGTGTGTGCACTTACTATTGTGTGCTGGCACAGCAGTCCACAATTGCTGTCTGGTACTTGGCTGCGAGCAACAAGGGCAGGGCTTTTATCTCTGAGCACCCTCAGTGGGTGCAAGAGGCTGGCAGCCCTTGTCCTGCTGGACCTGGATGGAGAGTGTTTAAAAAGGATATGTCTACATTACACTTGCCCAGAAAAAGCTTTCTTGCTTATACTGGTGTTTTTTTGTGTGTGTGTTGAACCCTCTTTATGTTAGTTTAGATACAATTGTACTGCTCCCTGGTTGTACAGGTGTGTCTCTGTTGGTGAAGGAGGGGATGAGGGACAAGAGAGTGATCCTAAAGTGGACATTTGGATAGAACCCCCATGGAAATTTGGAAATGTCCGAGTCCCATACTGAGCTATAGAGCTCTGGGCCTTGGATGGTCTACTGCTGGCTACAGGAGAGATCCAGAAAACAGCCGTGCTGTGCGACCGTAGCTAATGCCTAACACAGAGGCCTCTCAGACCATCTCTGTAACATGCTGCCATCTCCTTGTGAAAAGCAAATCCAAGATAGTTCTTCCACTGGAAATGCTTCATGGAGCTTGTAGTAGCAGGGCATGCTTGGGTATGACTTTCTGCTTTTTACAGCCAAGTTTTCCAAACCTCACATCTACTGAATGAAAAGTGTAGATGTGTTTGTACAGCCAGGCTGTGGGTGCCCACTCTGTGCCCACAGCTCAACACCGTGTTTCTTTCACCATTTGAAATACAGTAACTCTGTTTAATTTGAGATCCTATAAACTTTCTACAAGGACATCTAGGAAGATTTCTTGGTTTTCTTCAGATTAATAGCCTGCAGATATCCAATGTTCTGTTTCAGGATACAGATTTAGGTCGCTGTTATTTTGCATGTTCCAGTGCTGCAACCAGTTCCTCTTTCTGTCTATTACAGTGAGGAATCAGCATTGTAACATTTGCCAGCCAGTGGCAAATGTTTTTCACTAGAGCCGTTTGTTTTACAGGGACACTGAATGTCTAGGGTATTTTGCAGCACACTGGTGTGAGGAAAGTACCACAGTTTATCTTTTTCTCTTTTTTTTCCCTGTTTTTTTCCCATATTTTCATTTTCTCAGCACCCAAAAAATATGCTACCAGGTGAATGGTATTGAATGGGTTTTGGCCTCTAAAACTGAA